GCGAGAGTATAATAAATAATAATTTATTATTTATCTTAATAAACAATTTTTTTAGGGGAATATAGGGGTTTTTTTTTGAGATTGTGGGAGAAAAATGTTTGATATTTGAAGTGTATACAATTTCGCGGTATTTGTTTCTGATTTTATTCAAGCTTGGAAAGGTGTTTTTAAAAATGCTAAGAAATATTACAGCAGCAATTGAGTCGAAAGTTCTTGTAGATACAGAACTGTCGTTGGATGACACTGTAGTGGATTTAATAGAAGAAATATCCGATAGCGAGGAAATATTTACTGAATCTAAACTTTTAAATATTCAATGCGAAGAACAAATTGAGAATCCACAACTCAATAATTACAGCGGAATTATTGAAGACTTTACAGAAGATCGTCTGCAAGGTAATACTAAATTTTTATTGATACTATTATAACTAGGATAAGATAATTCATTTTTGACATCATATTTATTATAGACCATTATTATGATTGAAAGGAACTTCGAACTAAATTTGTTTATTACATTTCGGTGCATATATGACGTGTAACCGGAACTAACGTATGTATATTTATACTGTTATGATAAGAACTAAATGTTCATTTCGGTTTGTGAAAAAATCTTGACTTTTTCAGAATGAAAATTGCCGTTATGAATATAGTATTATCTAAGAAAGCACCATATCTTCTGAATAATGTGTATCATTGGAATCCAGCTGCTGGCAGCGATAGCTATAGGTCAATAGTAGAGCTTAATGAAAAAACAACATCATAGTATGTAGAAATGTCAAGATCAGGGAACTATGTGTTGTTATTTTATTTATCTTTTTTTAACCCATCCTTATAATTCGAAATATATTTTTTTTTATTTAAGAAAGTTTTAACTAAATTAAGATATAAACTATTCTGTCTTTTAAATATATATTTAAATATTATATCTAAATCTCTTTAAATAAAGATTAGAAACACACGTAAAGGTCACCAAAAAATCTGATCTCACAAATAACCCACTGATTTCGCTATTAATTTCTGCGGGATTCTTAACGGTAGTTCGTTTTTGGCTTGGCATCTGTTCAGTAATGAATTTTCAAAGCTGCCAAGGAAACCACAAGTTCGTGAGCTTTCTCAGAAGGCAAGGGAAGGAGTTTCAGATCATTTTATCCATGGTTTAACAACTTGTTTGTGAACATGTATCTGTAACGTAAAACATTAATGAAAACTATCAAAAATATTTCCGAAACAAAAGTTTAATGCATATTTTATGTTTTTCCTCACCCCCTCTGAGGATGCACTATAGGCTTTTTACCGATCAGTTTTGGGTTTCCAGTTCCACAGGAGGCCTATATTCATCCGTATAACATATTACTACAATCTACTTTTCATAACAAATATAAATAGAAAAAATATACATATATATAAAATCAGGTACACTTCATGGATAGTAATAACATTGACAATATAAGTGGAAATGATCATCTTAAACAATAATATACCATAAATAAATCGGGTACAATTCATGACCAACATATTATTAATCCAAACAATGTAATAATTTAATTAATTGGATATGTAATAAAAACATTCTTAAAGTTATAAATTTTAAAACAGACCACGGCAACACATTGTAGCAGATTTAAGGAATTTGGTCGTTTTAGTAGTAGAACCTTAGTATGCAACCCATATCAAATGTGACTTTAGTAGAGAATATGAGTAACAAATACCAAGTGTGACTTTAGCAGCAGAAATTTTGAGGTAACCCGTACAAAGTGGTACATTTTCGCGTGTGCATTAGAAAAACAAATAAAAATAATTAAATTCTTAAAAATTTGTTGAATAAACTGAAGCAGGGTATAGGAAGTTTAAACCAGAAAAGTGTACAATAAAAATGTAAAGTTGTACTATAGATATAGATTCACGCATCTATATTAAAGTCTACGCCACTAAGTGGAATTTACTTTCGAAATGTTGACAAGTTCTGAGTCTAGTACAGTGTTACCAACATACGGACTTTCCCCCTAAATTAAAGCGTTTAAAGAGTCAAATGGGATTTTTTAGGGGTGTTATATTTTGAGGGCAATTTTAAGGGGCTTTCTTTATTGTGAATAATAAATTTTTAACTGAAAAATTGGGAAATGTGTTAAAAATATATAAGAATTTGCTTTGTGGTCTAACAGAGCAAATCCAATAAAATATGGTAATTCAATAATAATTAAATATTTCAGTTAAAGAATGTTAGTATAATTTGGTCGTTTTAGGATACCGTCGCAGGCTTTCGGAAATAAAATGGGTATGGGCGGATAGAGGAGATCCTCCAGAACAAGAATATATATAGATATAGGCGAGGGAAATTTATAGTTTTCGAGATATGTACGTTTAAAGTTGAAAATTTCAACTATTTAAAGTACGTAGTTATGCGATTTAAAATGAATTATAAACTTATGTTTTTCACTTTTTATCCACTAACACTTGACCAAAAATTGCTTTATTTCAATATTTAAATCATTCTTTAATTGTATTAATTTTGACAACGAAGAAAAATAAAATAAACAGAGAGATTATACCCTAGATACAGGAACCAACGCGCGAAAAAAATTTTGATACACCCCGGTGTTGGACCGACAAGGGTTGTTATTTTGAAGCGCGGCCGAAGGCCACCAACGCAAAAAGGAGTTCTACGCGAAAAGACCTTGGTACATCACGTGTTGGACCTGCCAGGGTTATTTATTTTGAAGCGCGGCCGAAGACCGCCAACGCAAAATTAAGTTCCACAAGAAAAAGTAATATTGTCATAATACTTAACATCAATGCGCTATAATAGTTCATTTCTCTAGGTTTTGGATTCCTGTAAGGCTGAGGCTAGTAGCTGAGGCTCAGGCTACTACCGGGTCACAGTTGGTGGATAGTGGACGGCCTACGCTAAGTAGGTTAGCTGCGAATAGTAATACGCAGCCCCGACCAAGAGCTGCAGGAGAGGAGGGCTTGGCTCAAAATGCCTCACGCGCCCAATGAACCTCCGGCGGAGAGGCGAACAGATGCCGCCTTTAAATAAGCGTCCACAACCCCCACCGGGGCTGCACCGAGGGAGAACCTACCCACGAAAGGGAGGCAACAAAGCGACGAGGGATCAGTACAGCGACAATACCCAATGTGTACGGATGAAGATGAAAACCCTGGGCAAGCGCCCATCAGAATCGAGACCAGTAAGATTCTGATTATGGTATATTGGAAAGCCGGAAAGGATTAGATTGACAAAGGGCAGGTGAGAGCAGCATTCTACCACCTCAGTAGGTAAGAGTGACATCTCACCGAAATGGCTGGTAGGCTAATGCTGTCCTCATCTCCGTCTCGTTAAAACCATGGCAGCTCTTCAAGTACGTTCAATGCACGTCGCCATATATTTTTGGCCGTACAGTTTCAGTTGAGACGAGCTCCCGATTTGTGCCCGAACCTGGCTCTGAACATAAGCTCCCATAAGGACTTTTGTCCCTCGCGTGACCCTCGCGTGGCCTCCCTGCTTGCATAGATAACCACGGGGTTCATATAGGGCAACTGTTACAAAGCGCGGAGATAGCGGCTTGAAGCGGAGACCCATCAGAACAAAATGAATACACCACAACAACAACAAAAACCCCAACAAAAAGAACAACAAGAAAAAACACAACAAAATAAAGATGGCCAAGACGTGGAATACGGAACCGTCTTCCGTAGGAGAAGTAGGATTCTTAGATCCCCTATACTTTCCACCACTCCAAAACAGCTGGATAAAACCCCGGCTACGCAAACAGGATCGGCAAAGCAAGGAGAAGGGAAGCGCACCCCAGCTGCCATCATAGAAGAACCTCGGGCCACTCAAAACTCACCGAAACAGGAGTATATCACCCAAATGAGACAGGCAGAAGAGGAATCCTTAGAAAAGTGCAAGAGCATTGTGCAAAAAATGAAGATGGCGATGGCTAAACAGAAAAATGTCACCATGGACGTTAAGAACGGAGCGGCACAGCTAGACGAACTCTTTGACGTAATCAAGAGTTACCGTAAAAACTAGCTCATCGCTGAAGCCGAGAAAAGACGGGGACATTCAAACAGGCGCATCACGACCCCCGAGCCAATAACGAAGCGGCGCGCAACAAGCCTTGTGGAGCCTCGAGAAACAGTGCGACCACGGAATGAAAAGGAGGGACAGTGGCAGAAAGTTTTGCACAAAAGGACGAAGAAGACCCACGCAGAAGGAGGCAAGGTGATGGAAGCACTCAAAACCACAGAAGATAAGCAATAAGGGAAGAGTATAGCTGCAAGTCAGAGAGCATATTATAAAGCCAAGCGATAATCAGAGGCCGTAATTATTAAGCCAACAGAAGGCAATAGCTACGCCGAGGTCCTTAAGAACAACCGTAGCAAAGTAAATCTAAAAGAAGCAGATGTTAAGATTAAAGGGATCCGCAAAACAAGAGCCGGGGCGCTACTATTAGAGCTGGAGAAGGGACTTTTGTGAGGCACTCAAGCACACCCTTCAAAAATCCGCAACAGTGGCCGACCTTAAACCAAATTCTACTATTAAGATTAGAGACCTCGGTTCACTCACAACAAAAACGAAGTCGCAGAGGCCGTAAAGGAAGTGGTACAGGACCCCATCGAAGACTTGATAATAAACATAGCTGCACCTAACACAAGAGAGCAGGTAAGGGCGTATATAACGCTTCATCAGGATAAAGCTGACACACTGATGCGAAAGACACGTATTAAAATTGGCTGGGTTAACTGCAGGCTGCGACTGAAAGAAAACGCCAAAAGGTGCTACCGCTGCTTTGGACCAGGGCACTTGACCTGGAACTGCAAAGGGCCCGGCAGGAGAGGGCAAGGCACTTGCATAAAATGCGGCCAACCAGGTCACAAATTAAAAGAGTGCACAAAACCCCCTCATGCTGCCTCTGCGAAGAGGCTAAACACGAAAAAGTCGACCATATCCCGAGCTCCGCAAAATGTACGGTATATAGGAATCATCAGAACAAATGAATAATCTACAGGCCAATATGCATAGATGCAAGGCTGCTGACGCTTTACTCTCGCAAATGGTGACGGAGAACGGTTACGACTTAATCATCATAAGCGAGCAATATAAAAAGAAGGAGAGTGGGACCTGGTTAGAAGATAGCAGCTCAACCGCAGCTATATGGCTACCCCCAAGAAGTAAAATCACCATCACAGGTAAAGGGAACAGCAACGGTTTCGTCTAGGCAAGTTGCGACCTTTTCACAGTAATTAGCTGCTACCTGACGCCAAGCGACAGCATACAAGAATTTCAAGAAAAGCTCGACAATATAGAGGATACAGCCAGGTCTATAGAAGGTCCATTAATTATCACCGGAGACCTGAATTCGAAAGTCATAGAGTGGGGTATGCCAAACACGGACTCGAGAGGAAAGCGCATTCTAGAAACGGCTGCTCGGCTTGGTCTAATAGTGCTCAATACGGGAAATGCAACCACGTTTAGAAGACCGGGTTGCGAGGAAACCACACCAGACATCACCCTATCAACGGAACGCATGGCGGGCTCAATAAAGCAATGGAGAGTCCTAGAAGACTACACTGGCAGCGATCACCAGTACATCTCTTTTGAGTTGGACACCGGAACAAACGCCCACCAGTACAGAAAAAATACTGGAGCCCGAAAATGGAACGTCTCGAAACTAAACACTTCGAAATTAATCTCCGCAATAGACGACCATAACCCATCTAGCAGCTCCCCTAAAAATGCAGAAAAAGTTGTCGAGCACACAATGCTTAATATAACAAGAGCATGTCACAAATCGATGCCCAAGGCTTCCCACAGCAAACATAAAGCGGCAGTTTACTGGTGGACAGAAAATATTGCGCAACTCAGACGCACATGCCTTCGCCTTCGTAGATCGTATACGAGATCCAGGAGAAGAGGAGCCGCATCTCAAGAAGCCGAGCAATATCAAGCGGCGAAAAAGGAGCTGAAGCACGCCATCGATGACAGCAAAAAGAGAAAATGGAAGGAACTACGCGAGGACATTAACAAAAACCCCGGTCTCCGGGACTCGGGTACAAAATAGTAATGAAGAAACTCGGAGTTCGAGCAAAACCACCTGACTTAACCGCTGCCAAAATGGATCATATCGTAAGCGCACTCTTCCCCACACACGAAAACAGGATTAGTGATCCAGAACAGACAACAAGACTTCTGAAAATTCCCCAGTTCACCCTCGAAGAGCTGCAACTGGCCACTGGCAAGCTCAAAACTAATAAATCACCCGGCCCGGACGGGATCCCAGCGGAAATCCTTAAAAAAATCGCCGCAGAGCGACCGGCATTACTTCTGAATATGTACAACGCCTATCTCGAAGCCAGAATATTCCCTGAACCTTGGAAAAAACAACGGCTGGTGCTAATCAGTAAAGGAAAAGGTGATCCCAACTTACCATCAGCATACCGTCCACTATGTATACTTGACACAGCGGGAAAACTTTATGAAAGTCTACTTAAACTCAAACTCGAAGCGGCCATCAGCGAAGCCGGAGGACTCTCCTTTAGACAACACGGCTTTAGACCCGGCAAGTCAAATTTAGGAGCTATAAGATGCATCATTGAAAGCGTAGATGCCATAAATACAAAAGAATAGTTTTGCTGGCGGCTCTAGACTTCCGAAACGCCTTCAACAGCGCTAGATGGGCGGACATGATCGACGCTCTTGAAAAAAGCTTTAAAATCCCCAACTACCTTAGAGCTGTGGTGCGGATTAACTTTCTGGGTACAAATCCAGCACGCCGCAGGAAAAGAAGCGAAAATCACCTCCCAACTCAGCAGACTAATGGCCAATATAGGGGGGCCCAGCCAAGAAAAGAGAAAGCTTCTAATGTCCACGACCATCAGCGTCCTTTTATACGGAGCAGAGATTCGGGCAGATGTGTTAAAAAAAGAAAAGCCGGCGTAAGGTATTGGCTAGAGTATACCGCACCGCAGCCCTCAGAGTTGCATCAGCTTACCGAACGGTGTCAGGTGATTCAATATCAGTCATAAGCGGAAATGCCCTAATTGACCTTCTGGCATACGAAAGGAAAAAGCTAGACCCGATATCAGCATGGCAACGAAGATGGGAGAATGAGAGTCGCGGCAGATGGACGGCCAGACTTATTAGAGACCTAAACTTATGGACAAGTCGAAAATTCGGAGAAGTCGACTTCTACATAACGCAGCTACTATTCGGTCATGGATACTTCAAAAAGTATCTCTACAGAATGGGAACAGTCGAAGAGCCGGCATGCCTATACAACGATGCGACTGAAGACGCCGCTGAACACACATTCTTTAAATGTGAACGATGGCAAAGGGAACATACCGCCGTAGAAGACCTGGTCGGTCCAATAAGCGCAAACAACTTAATCAGCGTCATGATGGAGAGCGAAGCTAACTGGTGTATTATCCAGAAATTCGCAGAAACTTTGCTACGCAGCAAAAAGCGGGACCTGGACGCAGGTGCGTAGATGTAAATCTCTCAATGAAGAAAATGGAACGCCACCCTGAAGTAATGCAAACGCGGTTCCAGGGTGGGCGACGGTTCCCTAGAGGGGGGGTTTTTAGTGACCTGAAAGTGGCACATACCGTTGCTGTGACGACAGCACTGATGATGCGGAAGGCATTATCCACCCCCTCACCCGCAAAAAAAAAAAAAAAAAAAAAAATCCTGTATTTGGGGTATTATCTGATTTCATTTCTTTCAGTTCAATTACAAAAGGTGTCAATAAAGTAACATTTTGCAACCCTTTTGTTATTGTCAGAATTAATAGAATTTAACAATAATTTAATTATTAAATTAAACTATTTTAGCACTATATAATATAAAATAAATGTGTACAAACGAATTAATGAAGTGTTAGTGGATATAAAAGTGAAAAATATAAGTGTATAATTCATTTGATATAGAAAAAATGCGTACTTTAAATAGTTGAAATTTTCAACTTTAAACGTAAATATCTCGAAAACTATAAGTTTCCCGCGGCTATATCTATATAAATATATTCTTGATCTGGATGATCTCCTCTATCCGCCCATACCCATTTTAACCCCGAAAGCCTGGGACGGTATACTAAAGTTTTCCCGTATAATTAAATATATAATTTAATAAATAAAAATGTATTATTTATCTTAATAAAAAATTTGTTTAGGGGAATATAGGGGGTTTTTTTTTGAGGTTTAGGGAGAAAAATGTTTGAGATTTGAGGTGTATACAATTTCGCGGTATTTGTTTCTGATTTTATTCAAGCTTGGAAAGGTGTTTTTAAAAATGCTAAGAAATATTTAAATTAATAAGAAATAATGTTTCGCAGGTAAAACAAAACTTATTACAAGTTTTTTAACCTACATTGATACTAATCAGTCAAATATGGTGTTAACTTCAGAAAAAAATTACTTTAGTGGTAAATCACATATAAGTGAAGGAAACACATTAGTCAAGCATGACTTTATGTTAAATATGCCAAATGCTTCCTCTGTGATCGCAATTTTGTTGAAGGAGAAGATACTTTCCTAATTTTTGATATCTGTCTGCGTGACGATGGCGGAATTGATAACCCATTGACTCTTATATTGGCAACTGCTTTAGGCTGAGATTTAGATGAAATTAACTCCGATTTCAATGTAAGAAAAAACAGCTCTCTTAGGATTAAATATAACTTTTTTCTTGCAGTTGCTCTGCGTGTCTTGCAATAAAAATACTTTGGAGTTTGAGAAACTGCTTCATAAATTTTGCGAACTTCGTATAAAAATAATCAAAGCGTATAATCAAACTGTTCAAATTTACAACATAGATCCCATAGTTATTGATTGTGAAAACGAGATATTTCGAATAGAGATATCTGAATTTGGTGAATTAATTGAAAATATAATTATTGATGAATTGCACAGTAAAACCCTAAACGAAAATTCAGCCGAAAGCTCGAATGAGAGCTTAGAATCATTTGACGATGATACTGCAGAAGCAATTGAGTCGAAAGTTCTTGTAGATACAGAACTGTCGTTGGATGACACTGTAGTGGATTTAATAGAAGAAATATCCGATAGCGAGGAAATAATTACTGAATCTAAACTTTTAAATATTCAAACACAATGCGAAGAACAAATTGAGAATCCACAACTCAATAACTACAGCGGAATTATTGCAGACTTTACAGAAGATCGTCTGCAAGGTATTACTAAATTTTGATTGATACTATTATAACTAGGATAAGATAATTCATTTTTGACATCATATTTATTATAGACCATTATTATGGTTGAAAGGAACTTCAAACTAAATTTGTTTATTACATTACTACTAACGTATGTATATTAATACTGTTATGAATATTTAGTTCCGTTCATTTGGGTTTGTGAAAAAATCTTGACTTTTTCAGAATGTAAATTGCCGCTTTGAACATAGTATTATCTAAGAAAGCACCATATCTTCTGAATAATGTGTATCATTGGAATTCAGCTGTTGGGAGCGATAGCTATAGGTCAATAGTACAGCTTAATGAAAAAACAACATCATAGTATGTAAAAATGTCAAGATCAGGAAACTGTTCCTGAGCAGTTATCTACACAATTTTAACTGAGTGAACTATGGGAAATATAGAGTTAAGCCGAATGCTTAAAATGAGTTCCAAAAAAAAAAACCGCGAGTTCAGTGGAAGAAGTGAACACTTTCAGTAGCTATGTGTTGTTATTTTATTTTATTTTTTACCCATCCTTATAATTTGAAATATATTTTTATACTCTCGCAACATGTTGCTACAGAGTATAATAGTTTTGTTCACCTAACGGTTGTTTGTATCACCTAAAACTAATCGAGTTAGATATAGGGTTATGTATATATAAATGATCAGGATGAAGAGACGAGTTGAAATCCGGGTGACTGTCTGTCCGTCCGTCCATCTGTCCGTCCGTGCAAGCTGTAACTTGAGTAAAAATTGAGATATCTTTATGAAACTTGGTACACATGTTTCTTGGTACAGTAAGACGGTTGGTATTGCGGATGGGCGTAATCGGACCACTGCCACGCCCACAAAACGCCATTAATCAAAAACAAATAAATTGTCAAAACTAAGCTCCGCAATAAGACACAAGACTGTTATTTGATACACGAGATCACATTAGGGAGGGGCATCTGCAGATAAAATATTATATATATATATATATATATTTAATGTGCATATCTCCTAAACTACTAAAGCTATAATAAAAAAATTCACTGGATGCACTTGGGATCTTTTTAACCGATTTTAACCAAATTTGGTACATAACATTATTTTTATATTTCTATGTTATGGTGCGAAAATGGGCGAAATCGGATTACAACCACGCCTATTTTCCATATGACACCATTTTAAATTCCACTTGATTCTTTCACTTTCCACTATGCAAATCAAGCAACAATGATTATATCGGCGTAAAACTTTGCGTGAATAATACGTTTAAAGTATGCCACCTTGTCACCAAAAATTCTCTAAATCGAACCAAAACTGTTCAAGCCAATAGGTACTGAATATGTGAACACCAGTACCTATAGTTTACTTTTTATCGTAAATATCGGCCATTGTGTAAGATATATAATTGAAATTCATATAATAGAATAAATAAATGAAACTATCGATAATAGTATGTCTTTGTTTCGAAAATGGGTTGAATCGGATCAATAGTTTTTGTAGCCCTCATATATCTAATATAAATATTTTTGAACTTCCGCGTGACTTAAATATCATTTAATAATGGATGTTTAATTCAACATTTTTTAATATACGGTTTGGAGGAATTTTCTGGTCTTTGATTTTCCCAGCTCACATGTACTACTTATGGTATAATTTTTTTCGTCAATTTGATAATTTAATGAAATTAAATGGACAGTTTTTCTTAAAAATAATGTATAGGTATCGCTGCATATGAATGAAATTGGTCTAGACTTTGTTTAAACCTTATAACCCTAATATACTGATTTCCGCTCCTCTGGTACAACAGCAACCTCATATACCCCACATATTAAATCTAACCCCTTTGGTTCAGTTTATATCACATGTTTGAG